ATGCAGAAATAGAGTAAAATACCACCCATAACATGTAATAACATAGCATTAATTTTTAAATAACAATTCCTTGTATTCTCTCCCCCCCCCTACACCCACCAGATCACAGAAATAGAGTAAAAAACACCCATAACACGAAATAACATAACATTAGTTTATAAATAACAATTTTTTTGTCCCCCCCCCCCCCCCGAACACCAGAAATAGTGTAAACTACCACCCATAACACAAAATAACATTAATTTATAAATAACAATTTTTTTGTTTTCTTCCCCCCCCCCACTCAAAAGGTGCGCTGACCACGACTTCTGCATGTCCAAGTACTGGACCACCTCAGCTAACAACCAGGACTGTAAAGCTGTAGACTTCACGGGCATGACCGTCGACTGCACCTTCTGCTGTACCGGTGTGGGTTGTAACCTTCCCGTCAGACCGTTCGACATCAACCTCGTCAACTTTCAGTAGTTAGTTCGACATCAACCTCGTTAACTATCAGTAGTTATCTCCTCCTGGAGGGATATCTCATACTTTAACGTCTTTTATAAACAGTGAGATTTTATTGTAAAAATAATGTAAAAAAATAAACATCATTTTAAACATCACCTCACTTTTAATTAATTCATAAAAAAATAAAATCAGGCTACCAATTAGGTCATATTGAATGTCACGACGCATTGTCTTCATGTCTTGACCCACGTACCAATTACGAACCGTATCTGTCAGTTAGAAGTGCCTGCAATTTCGCTCGGCCGTTTCGATCTAGACAGACTGACGAAAGACTGACGACAGAGGAAGTGAGTTACATTAAAACATGTAATAAAAAGCCGTAGGAATGAAGCCTTGAAATTTGAACTTAGGTCATGGGTTAGGTCAGGGCTTCGCTTTAAAATAAAGATGGCTGTCCAATATGTTAAATTTTGTTACGTGCAATGTTTAATGTGTTACAATGCATTTTTAGCTTTCGGGTCTAGCTTTATTGATATAACTGTTTGTTCTATTAGTTTCTAACACTATTATCAATTAACTAATTCGTGAATACAAGTGATAAAAAGACTTAAGCCATTTGTTAGGCCTGTTAGGTCTGTCGGCGAAATTTAATTCTAGATTTAATACCAAGGCCTATAAAAACACAATAAATAGCTAAGAGACGTTTTACCGCCATCCGCGCGCATCGCAGCGCTGGCGTTCTGCTAGATCTAGTAGGCCTACTTGTTTACCTATTCTTTTTGTGAGAACATTTTATTTTTGTAATGTAAAATATAAAAAAATAATTAAAAAACGTTTTAATAACAAGCTTTTATGTGAGATGCACTAAAAATTAGAAAATAAATTATAGACTACTATTTAAATAACTATAAAGAAAAGTGTGGGTGTCTTCCTAAACATTAGTAAAGGTACCCAATAGATACTAAAGTGACCCACGCTTTTCTTTATAGTTATTTAAATAGTAGTCTATAATTTATTTTCTACTTTTTAGAGCATTATTACATAAAAGCTTGTTATTAAAATGTATTTTTACTTTCTCGTATATACGTAGTATAGAGAAAGTATTGTAATCGTGCAAAAAAAAATAATCGAGATTTTTACAAATCTCGACGTTTTACACCTCACTGATACGGAAAAACATAATTTTGATATCTTGTCCGTATGTCTATGTGTCTGTGTGTGTGTGAGTGTGTGTGTGTGTGTGTGTGTGTAAACACGATTACTTGAGTACCGTTACAGCTAGGTTGATGAAATTTCATATATAAGTATTTTATCAAAATCGTAGATCCGTATCAACTTTTGAGCGATTTCCGATAACCGGAAGTGGTACTTTTTCTACTTTTCAAAAGCCTATAACTTTAGTACTATTTCAGATAGATAATTGAAATTTCACATGTGCGTAAAAGATCTAATTTTCTACCTTCTGTTAACTTTTGAGTAATTTCCGTTGACGGGAAGTACTAATTTACGCTATTTCCGATTTCTCAAATACGCATCTAAATTTATAAAGTACTAATAATATTGCGCACCAATATGAACATCTTTATACGGCGTTCGCTTGGTGTGCAATACTTTTTTCTATGAGATTCTATTTTATTTAAAAAAGTTTATGTATTTAAAATGGATTAAAAATCATAACTATATCCCGAGTTCCCATCCCCTGTTGTTTTATATAAGAATATTCGAGAAAGTTTAGGGGAGATCACTCCCGGTTTATTTAATGATTTTTTCAGTACTTTGCATGTTTTATTTGCAATAGAGTTACATGACTAAAAGCCATTGCGCATCTATTGAACGTGATGACGCCCTATTGAACTTGCTGACGCGTGTCTTATAGTGCGGAATTTTAATAAGGCTGCCTACTAATTTGGTCAAAGTTTTAATTAATTCATAAAAAAATTAACTAGGCAACCAATTAGCTCGAATTTTATGCCATGATGCATTGTCTTTATGTCTTGACCCATATACCAACTACAAACCGTATCTGTCAATTAGAAGTGCCCGTAATTTAGCTCGGGCGTTTCAATCTAGAATTTACAATTAAATTTGTAGAAATATACATACTTATATTAAGAGAGTGATTATTACCCTTTAATTCGTTTGTCTTAATTAATATTCTAGGAATCAATATGTCAAATTGTTTTTTTTTTTACAAGGATTACAAACAGATTGTGTTTCGTTCATTGTTTTTTATTGTATTGTGTGTATATTTTGTTTGTTATTCTGGGGTCATCCATAAATGCGTCACGGTTTTTTGACGATTTTTAGCCTCTCCCCTCCGTCACACGTCGTCACAAAAAGCCAGACCCCCCCAAATGACGTCACACATCAGCCCACAACCCCCCCCCCCCTCAAAATGGCTGTTGAATTTTTCTTAAAACATCGATATTTTTGCAATATTTTGTCAAACTCTGTCAACATAGAGTATTTTAATCAATTTCTATTACAATTTATTAAAACGGTTTTCTATAAAGCGAAATAACTGCTAAAAATCGTTTTCTAACATTGCTTTTTTATAATACAAACAAGTGACGTCACACCATCTGAACCCCCCCCCCCCATCCCCCACATGAGACGATCCTGGCTACGCCACTGCGAGGTGCGAGGTTTAGTGAACATTTATCATTTATTTACCATATTATACCGTTAAAAATCAATATAAAGATTCAACTCGCATATCAGATAAAATAAGATAGATCTTTACTGACTTATATCTAAATTATAGAACACATGTTTTCAATAGTTTAATATCCTATCCTAGTAATCTCTGGAGCTAGAACTTAAAACTCCTATTTACTGAATTAGAAAACCCAGAAATACGAAAATATTCCTTTTTCTTTAAGTCTTACTCTATTAATAGAATCAATACGTCAGTCAACAAACACGTAGTGGCGTGAGTATAGTTTTGTAAATTCCCGATTCTATTATTAACGTTGGTTAATTCTATTTTGTCTGTTCTGTTTCCTATTATAACCCCACCCCGAAACAGACATATACTAGTTGTCAAAGTCAGCTAAACTATACCATGCAGTTGTTGGTAAAAAGTACCCATATTAACGATCGCCAACGTAGTTTATATTACATTATCAATCTATTATAAGCCACGCTTGTTGTGTTTGAAACTTATTATTTTATCTTCGAGGGTATCTACTCAAACAAGACGAAAGCTTCTTCACCCTAAACACGAATTTTTTTTTTTTTTTTCTGTTGCCAAAACGGTTAACAAAGCAATTAAAAATATTTTCAATTGATAATATTAAAAAAAACCATTTTGGGTACCGCTTAAAATCGGACTAAGCTCCTCATTCGATTAGTTAATGAACTAAGTTGCTGTATCACTTTTTTCAGTAAATCCGATTACGTGCCAGCTCATGTCTAAGAATAGATTTACTCCATATTTAATCTGCAGAACTCATCGCTAGTGTTGAAAACACCTAGGCTTAAACGGCTGGTATGTCTGTAACCGTAGATTTTTTCCCCATATATTTTGTATTACTTAATTCTATTTTTCATTTTGAAGTTTAAAATGTATTGAATTTCGTTTAAGTAAAAGGAGACACATATTAGAAAGATTATATAATTATTTTCAAAACATTGACTACGTTGTCTTTGAAATTAACGACGTTATTTTTTAATAGCCATCAAAGTAAAATAATATGTATCATGTTAAAAGTAAAGAGAAGTTCCATTCTGAACCTGACGGTCCTTGAGGCAAGTGAAGTAGAGCTCACCTGTTTCTGTAACCTCGGCATATGAAGAGATAGTGTAGTCAGCACTATGCCCAGTCGCCTTTACTTTCCCTAACGTGAGTTAGGTACCCATCAGAGCTGGATGGACCCAGTGACGCTCTATGGACTTGAACCCAGTTCGAACTCGAGAGCTTTGGATTAACAGTCGTTGCGTGGTCGAATGGTAGAGCATGTTTCATATTATTAACTACAAAAAAAGCAAATGTTTGTTATGTCTCACTTAATTGTGGTAAGTGATATTTAAATATACTTTTATGCTTTTCGTCTGTTTCATCCCTTCCGTCGTTTGTTCAATTGTTTTCGCTTTTCTGTCTGTCTGTCTGTCTGTCTGTCTGTCTGTCTGTCTGTCTGTCTGTCTGTCTGTCTGTCTGTCTGTCTGTCTGTCTGTCATGAACGCTGTAGAAAAAAACACAAGGAAAATGTTTATAGAAAATATATACTTTTACCGGTGTCTGCCCCCTTCCCTCCCCCCGGAGAATTTAGTTTGCCCCCGCGAAATTGTCAGTGCTCCCCCCCTCAACAGGACAAAAAAAAACAGTCTGCATAATTTGAGGTTTAGCAGCCAAAAGTAGGAAACGGGTCTAGATTACAAATGTATGGTCGAGCGACTAGTGTTTCTTTCAGATTTTTTTTTCTCTGATGGGGTGCACTTGATATTTTTGGGAGGGGGCGGACACTGGTAAAATAATATGTTTTTCTATATAAATATATTTCGTTTGGGGGGGGGGGAGAGGCGGTAGACGTTCTTCGCCCCCCAACCCCTTGAAAAAATGCCTGAAAGAAACTCGGAATGCGAATTTAATGAAGAGTGAGATTAGGGGCAAAGATTAGCGTCTATACACAAAATAGAATGACGTTATTGAGTGTTGAATAAATAAACCGGGAGTGATCTCCCCTAAACTTTCTAGAATATTCTTATATAAAACAACAGGGGATGGGAACTCGGGCTATAGACATGATTTTTAATCCATTTTAAATACTTAAAGTTTTAAAAATAGAATAAAATCTCGTAGACAAAAGAATTGCACACCAAGTGAACGCCAAATAAAAAAGTGCATACTAGTGCGCAATATTATTAGTACTTTAAAATTTACATTGGTTTTTTGAGAAATCGGAAGTAGCGTAAATTACTACTTCCGGTCAATGGAAATTACTCAAAATTTAACAGAAGGTAGAAAATTAGATCTTTTACGCACATGTGAAACTTCATTTATCCATCTGAAATAGTACTCAAGTTACAGGCTTTTGAAAAATTCACAGTAGAAAAAATACCACTTCCGGTTATCGGAAATCGCTCAAAAGTTGAGACGGATCTACGATTTTGATAAAATACTTATATATGAAATTTCATCAG